TCTAGTGGAAGAAAAAATATTGGTTCTTGTTCTGTCTCTTCTCCTTCATTCAATGGTAACTGGTGCTGTGTTGTTGGGTTACATTATGTAGCAGAACAGAGCTGGAGGGGGCTGGTCATGATATACTAGTAGTAGTATTATGAATATGTTTGAGTGAGAAAAAAGGGCAGTAGTTTGTAAGGCTAGACCACCATGTGAAAGTAAACATTATTATGCATTTTCTTTGCATATGTGGGTGCTGTCTGGGCTGAACCTAGATAAACAAACAAACAAACCTGACTACAGCTGTTATGAGGCCCCCCTGCAGGGTTCTGCATGTAAACCAGCCTGCTGCCGTCTGGGCTGAACCTGGGACACCGCACAGACAAATCGTCTCCCGTCAGCTGCTCACACTTCTGTCCTTCCAGATCCAGGTGAAAGAGGGCGCTTCTCCGATTGGTGCAGTAGATTATCCCCAGCCTGAAGGGCACATGCCACCACCCCACAAACACTACACCTGTAACACAAAATAAGAAACATTTAAGAAAATAGCAGACATTTGCTCGCAAGCAAATACACCATATTTCACTCCATCTCCCTCCATACAAAAATGGACAGTTCCAAACTCACCCTTTTGCACAAAAAGAAAGAAACAATGACATCACAGAAGTGGTAGATTGTTCATTCCAAAGACTGCAGTTGTACAGTCAAAAATTTGGTTAAGTTTGATTTCTTGTGTTGGAAATCACAGTAACATTTTACTTGCTCCATAACAAAGTTTAAGATAAAAAAAAGAACACCACACCTTTGCCATCCGGACACCAGACCGCTTGTCCAGGAGACACCTCATTAGGAATGCTTGTCAACACCTGCACCGTTTCTTCTTCTGTGTCAAAGACACAGAGAACTGGATGATGCTTAGAGACATGCCCCTCCCCCCAGTCTTCTTTAAACACATACTCCTCCCCCTGCACTGGTGTGTCTTCAGACTCAGCCTTCTCCTCGTCTTTCCTCTTGAAGAAAGACTCCATCTTGGGAGTCTTTTTCTCAGCGATGTACAGAAGGTACCTCTCACAGGGCGACCACTGGAAACAGCCGAACGTCCCATCATCGTACCTGTGTAATGTAATCAAAATTTATTATTAGTTTAGTTGTCAACAAGTAGGATTGTAGAATGCTGGAGTACTTTTTAAGAGGTATAGAGGAGGCCCATATTAAAGGGAACATCACCCATCACATGGTATAGAAGTCATGGTCTTAGTTAGTACTCTAACGTGACCAAGGAAATGCCTACTACCCATCACTCAATAGAGATGGTGGATCGTATAAAATTCCCTGGAAAATTGACACATTGCTGATGTCACATATCTGATCCTTGTGTACCCTATGTGTTGGAATAAAGTTTAGCATCGTACTTACAAGTAAAGAGAAAACAACAACTCTTTGTTTTACAAAGTATTACAGTCATAAGAGATGTTTCAGCATGTCATTCTATTATCATAGATGTGTACTGCATACAAAGGAATGTTGAAGTCTCTTTGTGCGGGCTATTTGCAGATGTAATTCTCTCAGCATTTCTTTGGGAGATTGTGGTGGCTACAGTCCTTGGGTGGCACTAAATTTTACTACAACTAGTACAAGCACTTGAAATCAACGTACACCTTGCCGTGCTTCTCTAAGGCTGGCAGTTCCACATTCTTCAGCTTGCAAGTGTGGTTCCAGATCTCCAGGTACTGTTTGTCGGAAACCAGACGTACGGCTGCAGACAGCTTCCCAGACGGAGACGTCTGCTGTAGCTGGCAGGTGCTGGTGTCTACAGGTGCTCCAAGGGGCTCTGCACTTGTCACACGGCCGTCGGTGATGTCTATGTTGTGATTCCTAAGGAAGCAAACACGTTGATGAGGGTCTTTACGGGAGGATGCTGGTACATGTATATTCAGAAGGGCCAATAATGCAAATTAAGTTGAGTATCAAAGTTCTTTATTCACAAACACTTGTAAAACAAGTGAATATACCATAAGCGTTCCCAGAATCCACCCTCATGCAGACCCTCAAAAGAGATTAAGACATTTAATCATTCACCAACCTGATGAGGTAAATTAGTTCTTCAACTTATCATAAATTTATTAAGGATCTTTTGTACTCATTTGTTTATTTGAGTGTCATAAACTATGAGTATCTCAAATTTTGTCATTGGAGAGTAAACAACAGCAACATGCCTGATGAACTTGGCAGTCTTTGCCGTCTCGATGTCCCTTTGGGACCAGACCGAGCAGACTTCGACCAGTTTGTTCCCGGTGGTTCCTACACGTTTTGCCGGGTTGATCCAGGCACGGGCCACGCTGGGCCGCCGTGCGAGCTCCCTGTACACTTTCACCGCTTCCGTCGCGCTGCTAGAGGCCTGCATGGTGGGCTAGCTCTTTCCTGCACTGTTTTAAGTTTAAACGGAGTTTGGAAAGAGATTCTTACGCGGCTAAAGCTTGTTGTATGGACTTTGACTTGAGGCCTTGAAGCTGAAACTAGTGTGAACTTTGACACAGCTATCCCACTAAGCCGTTCGAGTCAAGATGGCGGCGCCCATGTATTTCTCCGTTGTTGTTACCGTTACTATCGTCAAATTACTCCTCATCCCCAGCTAGTGAGTATCTTTTAACCTTTCCAAGTAGACATGCGTTTCTGTCGAGCTTAGATATATCTTTAGACGCTGATATGTGTGAGGAAAATCCGCTGAAACAAGAATGAATGGTGGATGAACTTTGACCCTAAGGGAAAGTGATAGAGCTTTGCAACGATCTTGCTGTGATTTCTATTTTCCGCACGCCACGGGATAGGATTTAGGGAACGTATGCTTCAAACAAAACAAAAAAACACGTAGACCCTAAGAAATAAGAACAGCTTACAAAAATTTGCTACAAGTACTAGTAGTAAGGTCGTGGAAAGCAAGGAGGTTTAACAAGTATGATGTTTTTAAAAAAACACAGGCGACGATTTTGTGTTTTATCTGTTCCGTTCTTGATACAATTGTTCTTTTCATATACGTACACATATAATTTAGGCCACAGCAAGTAAATTTTACAGATGACATCCTCCGCAGACTCCAAATCTAATGCGAGCGGGCGAAAAAAAAACAAGGCCGGCCGAAAAAAACAAGGTTCCTATATACAATGTAAAATTTTGACTCAATCATTGTACAAATGGTTTTGATTCAGTAGGAACATCACATAATTTATACACAGTCAGCATCACATATCACTGCATCAAAGTAAGAAACAAACAATAAATCAGAGCCTTTTCTTGTCTCCTCTCTTCCTAGTTATCTGCCATCCACCTTCCAGCATGGCAACAGACATCTTTGCCCATTTTCGGCATGTTGACCACTGTCAGAAGGCAACAAAATTTCTTGTTTTTTTTCCAAAATCAGACGAAAATTAATGCGCGCGTGGATGTCATCCATAAAATTTACTTGCTGTGGCCTTAGAAAGAATCCAGAATTTCTGCTACAGTACGAGGAAAGCCACCAGGGGTCCAAAATCAGTTACATTTTTGTAGGCCCAGGCAAATTTATGTTGTGTTTCTTAAGCGCTTAAAAAATTAGAATCGCTAGATAGGATTCACTCCTTTTTTATTTGTCTTGGGGCTACATGTACATGTATATGCATGTACCTGTATTATAGGGTGCTCTAGCCTGTAGTATATTGATAAGAATAAGTATCTTAGGTTATATACGTTTCTTGTACCGTAGGCTGGAAAAACACTTTCTTGTCCTTGTACTGAATCACTTTCCCCTGTTCTGAGAAATGTAAGAGATCTTTGAGAGACATCTAGTTAATGACCCAGGAAGAACTAATGGGTTCCTGACGGTAGGGGACCAGGGTCTCAGTGGCTAGACATTGCCTTATTTGGTAATGGTCAGGGCTTTTCCACTAATTGTTACGCGCCGAAATGATGCATTTGAATGGTATATATAAAATGACATAGTTCAGTCACGGTGCACCAAAACAGGCCATGAAATGTATCCCCGTATTCCCAACAAGTCAGACCATCACACAGTGGACAGTTGATCATATCAAAAAAGGTCTGAAGATGAGATTTGGGGCGTCAAAGTTGACCGTCAAATGCATCAATTTGGCGAGGTTTCCGTGTTGTTTCACGCTCTGCATGGGGGTTTGGAGAAGACCGATTGTCACATCCACTTCCGGGTCATCTCAGATGTGCACACAAATTACATTCATTGTAACACACATCGACCGCTAGTTATCACTAATAAAGGTAATACACAGGAATAAGTACAGCGTTACTGGAATGTTGCCTATTTTTGTCTGGAAAAAAAGTTGTCGCTCGGTGTTAGTCTGTAACAGTGTAACGCTAACGCAAACTTGTCTGAAAAAAAAAGTTGTCGCTCGGTGTTAGTCTGTAACAGTGTAACGCTAACGCAAACTTGTCTGAAAAAAAAGTTGTCGCTCGGTGTTAGTCTGTAACAGTGTAACGCTAACGCAAACTTGTCTGAAAAAAAGTTGTCGCTCGGTGTTAGTCTGTAACAGTGTAACGCTAACGCAAACTTGTCTGAAAAAAAGTTGTCGCTCGGTGTTAGTCTGTAACAGTGTAACGCAAACTCGCGGCTTTACCGGGACGTCCTGACTACTTGTTCAGGGTCATGTATCATTCCAGTGACACGTTAAAAATCTGCCGTCTTTACTTGTACAGTCTTGTCAAGCAAATGTTTACATGTATGTAGACTTTCTGGCATTGTTCCATCTAAAAATATGTAGTCCAAAGTTGTATTTACCCCTTAACTGCAATTGTCGTGAGCGAAAACGAACTATCCTTTACACACGTACGTTTAGAAATTAATAACCAAACATGTAGGTTTATCGTCTTAGCTATATGTTATTAGCCTGGGTACCATCCCCAGTAGTATACTACTGGGGATGGTACCCAGGCTAATATGTTATACAAATAAACGACGAGTAAAGACGGCAGATTTTTCACGTGTCACTGGAATGATATATAGCCCTGAACAAGAGAATTTCCACCTGTGTCGTAGAAATGACATACTAGTAGCCTGAACATGGCAGATATGTCACCTGACTCATTTGGAATGATATAGCCCTCAACAGCAGAATATCCACCTGTGTCATTGAAATGACATAGCCTTAATATGGCACATATGTCACCTGAGTCATTGGAATGATATAGCCCTGAACAGTAGAATTATTTACCTGTGTCATTGAAATGAGATAGCTTTAAGACGGCTGATATTTCCCG